AAATTGATATTTGAATGACTGTGTATCCATATTTGCTCTAGCGGTTGTAGTTCAGATCTAGGCAATTCCGCGCAGAACAACGAACTACCTCAAGATGGTTTTAATGGAAGTCAACATGTAAGTTTCATATTCAAGTCGCTCGTCCTTTGGACTTATTTGTGATGCTATGCAAAAGGCCAACTGCCTTGTCGTTTTCATTGGCTAGAATTAATTGATGTACATTTAATTGGTAATTTTAGGGTGCAAAACACCTCTGGTCTAGTGCAACACTGGCTGCCAGAAGGAAGCGAGTTCATCAACATTTTGATGATTTAGAAAAATGTTACTTCGCAATTCGCCAGGGGGAAATACCCGGTAAGAATATATAGTGGTTATTAAAAATGAAGTTAGAGTTGGATCAGGGGGCGGATCAACCGTAGGGGTGCAGGGGGTGCGCACCCCGCCTAGTGTTGTCTACCATCCCCCCCCCCTAGGGAAGTCCAGCACTACTCTAGAAAATTCTGCTTTGCCATACAATTTCTGCTTTCCCATACAATTTCTGCTTTCCGAATAGCGACTAGCGGAACTTCGACTGTTAGCATGTGTCGATTTCTTGAAACAATTTAATTGATTCGAGAAAACACTCACTGGACTGGACTGTGCAACAACAACTCGTGGTAAAAAAGTGGTGTTTACTTTATCAACAAAATATAATGTAAAACGTAACAGAACGGCGAACATGTAGCCTGCGTGCAGTCCCAGACTTCCACTTCCTTTGGGAGTCTGGGACTGCACGCAGGCTACGAACATGCAGATTCAGCCATCTCAAATAATGGTAATGTTGGGGTAGTAGTGTTGCAGACTGCAGTGGAGAGTGGGCAGTAAGGCTCCCTCATGCACCACCCCATGGAAAACCTGCCTCCCTCCTTGCAGATGAGACTAGACCCGCCCCTGGCTGCTGCGAAAAACGCAACTATAAGCCTTCTTACCATGAGTAATGACCATCAAGTGAGAGGCCCAAAATCCAAATTTTTAACCAATATAACTTACACTGGCATCAACCTAGTATATACACATGACATCGCGGTTAGAGCTGCTCAAACTGGACTCTGTAGCTCAGTTGGTTGGACCACCGCACCGGAATCCAAGGCCACAAGTTCCATTCTAGCCAGAAGGCAGGCTATACTGTAGTTGCATTTGTCACGGCTGCTTCTCGTTTATATGTCTATGAATGTATAAAATTTCCCCTTGAATTTTCTTACATTTTCAGCTTTTGTCTCTTACTAGGCAATTCAGATACGACAGATGCTTTAGACTATTTCACGGAGAGTCTATCCAAATTCACAAGGTTCAGTGGATTTCGTCCACTTGCAACGTTAAGTTATGCCAGTGAAGTGCACAATGGCTCCAGTATTGTTTCTAGGTAAACGCATGCATATAGTCCTGATTTGTCTCTTTAAGGGGGGTTGTACGAAGGCCGTATAGCGCTATCCACCGGATATTGATTTTTTCAAGCTTTGTTAAATCAGTCGTTGATTGATATAACTCGTATTAAAGTTTAGTATTTATAAGTTAAATGTTTTTTATACTTCTTGTCTATATCCGTAGTTTCACAGTTTTTCAAGCATTTTGCAAAGGTTGAAAAAATCACTATAATAGCGCTATCCAACCTTCGTACAACCGGCCCCAGATATTTCAGCCAGTTGCAGATGAGCACGTTTTATGTGACATTAGTTGTATTTGCTAGTACATTCTTGATTTTGAACTAGTGCACTTGTCATAGAGGACCTTGCGAAGTACAAATTTTGCTCCTCTGCACATATGGGCCAACAAAGTGTTTGGCAAATTAATTTGAGTAGTTGTATGCGGTTGGTCAAAGATATATTGTTGTAGTAGTCATTGCCTGCCAAGTCAGAAAACCAAAATCTTTCCATAGAAAGTTTGTTGTATGATGTTTAATATTTACCATTAATGGTATTTTCCTGTGCACAGGAAAAAAATAAAGCTAAAGCACCATTAATGGTAACTATTAAACATAATGTTTTTACCAATTTACCATATGGGAAATCTATAATAACCAATAATGGAGTTTTTACATTTGAAAAATGATCCATCATTGGAAATTTAATTTTTTTTCCTGTGTTTGTCAGTCAGTCAAGAGAGACATAACAAATTTTGCTTTTTCATTTACAGTATTGAATTCGATCGGGACAATGATTATTTTGCCATTGCTGGAGTAACGAAGAAAATAAAGGTATACAGGCAACTTCCATTTTCACACATATATCAAAATTTCTGTTTCAAAGCATTTCAGATTTTGCAGACCCTTGAGGGCAAAGAATTTACCTTTCTCTTCAAAACTTCTCATATTCAGGTGTTTGAATATGGTGTGGTGATTCGCGATGTCGTAGATGTGCATTATCCAGTTATTGAAATGGTTTGCAACTCAAAGATAAGGTAAGCAAATACAATCAATTTTAAATGGAACCCAACATCAAATCACACACCAAAGCCTGTAATGAGGTAGTACGACATGTGGTGTTAACTTTCACTGAAATTTACTTTCAAATACATTTCAAATTTCAATTCCCACTTATACTGTAGAAGTGTAAATTTTGTTACTGTTTTATTTCTTAGTGGTACATGTTGGAGTTCATATCATAAAGGTCTACTGGCCAGCAGTGATTATGAGGGTACTGTGACGTTGTGGGATGCCTTTACTGGAGTTAAGAACAGGTCATTTCAGGTGAGTTTTGGTTATAATATGATGTTGTATGGTGTTGGGTATGTGGTGGTATGATGTTTGATATTGATTTATGCGGAGGAGAGAGGTGTATGAGTATGGTATATGGTGAAGTTATGGTATGCTGTACGGTTGGTGTATGGCATAGGATATTGTGGTATGTATGGTATGGAAAGTGATGTTGTCTAGATGGTTTGAAATGGGATATGGTATGGTGGTGTATTTTGGTGTGATATGATGTATCCCATGGTATGCCATACCATGGGATACATCATATCACACCAAAATACACCACCATACCATACCCCGTATGATATGGTATGATATAGTGTAATGTAGTTTGTTCATGGTATGGTTGTTGCATATGGTAAGGTGTGTGATATGATGTGACATGTTCATGGTATGGTTGTTGCATATTATGGCACAGTAGTGTATGGTAGGTATGGTGTGATATGGTGTTTGGTATGATTTGGTATGTTCATGGTTTGATTGTTGCATATTATGGTACGATGTATGGTAGATATGGTGTGATATGGTGTTTGGTATGATGTGGTATGTTCATGGTTTGGTTGTTGCATATTATGGTACGGTGTATGGTAGATATGATGTGATATGGTGTTTGGTATGATGTGTTATGTTCATGGTATGGTTATTGCATAAGATATGATGTATGACATGGTAGCAATTATGCGCTCTTATCATTGTTTAGGAACATGAAAAACGTTGTTGGAGTGTTGACTTTAATCACGTTGATCCTAAATTACTTGCCTCTGGGTCAGATGACGCTAAAGGTTTGTCATTGCGCATGTCTTCGATAGAATTGATCATTTGTGATCTACTGACTTTGCTGATTGGTTGAGTGGATTGCTTCTTTCTTCTTTTCAACAGTTAAACTGTGGTCTACTGGTACAGAACATTCCGTGTCTTGTATCGAAGCGAAAGCAAACGTTTGTTGTGTGAAGTTCAACCCCGAAAGTCGATATCATTTGGCGTTTGGATCTGCAGGTAGATTTTTAAATATGCAAATTTTATTAAAGTAACTTTATTTGTGAAGAAATCAAATCCTAGTGCAGAGCACCTCCAACCACTCCTGGCAAGGGTGGAAACATATTTTACTTTCTGGGACCGCAAGAGAATTACATTGAAGATTTTCTGCAAATAATCAAGTAAATCGACACTCGGACACTGTAACTGTTTGACACTAACAAGTTGTCAAACTGGACGCTAAATTTCAACAGAAATTTTAACATTTCATTGCACTAAGAATCTTAATAAAATACTTTTAGGGATAGAACAGGATGTCGTGCTATATTTTAACAGAAAAAATGATTTCAGTGCACTGAGAATCTTAATAATACTTTTAGGGATAGAACATAAAACTAATTTTTGATAACATGCATCAAGGGTCGGATCCTAGGGTAAATACAGATGTTAAAAAAGGGCACTACTACACACGTAGAAACGCACACGTTGTAACAAACCTACAGCAGACTTGTAGCAATGCTGTTCCAACAACTTGTCAACAGGATGTGTTCGCACTGCTAGTTCCCAGCTTGTTGAGGCTTGTTGACAACTTGCTACAATATTGTTGAGCTCAACAGACTTGTTATACAAGTTGTTCCAACAACTTGTTATCGTCCTACAATTCAACAATTTGTCAACAAGTTGTGAGTGACAACCTTGTAGCAACTTCATAAAATAACAGCATTGTTACAACTTGTTGGCAAGCTTGCCACAAGCCTGTTGCGAACACATCTTGTTGACAAGTTGTGAGATTTTTACGTGTGTAGGGGGTAGGGGGACACTATCAGGGGGATCCATGCTCCCCAGAATATTTTGAAAATCAGGTGTCCCAGATTTGCTAAAAATGCCTTTTCCATACAACATCTGTTACATTACAGGTAACATACATTAATGGTAATCTTCAAAAAAGTATTTTTCTTTTCAGACCACTGTGTACATTATTACGATCTTCGTAACAGCAGTAAACCACTGACTGTTTTCAAAGGTCATCGCAAAGCTGTGTCTTATGCAAAATTTGTGAACGCTGAAGAGATTGTCTCGGCGTAAGTATAGTTGTATTTGCTTTCGCTTCATACGACATTGAAATCTCTGTTGATAAAAATTTGTCATGATTCCCGCTATAGACTAAGTTTTGCAATTTTACTCATTTTAAGATGCTCTTTCCAGCTATGGTAATGGTTTCGTTCTTTGTTTGTGTGATGTTACTCTGAGTGTATATCCACACCGGGCAGGCTTGAAAAATATGCCTGGCCACGGCGGGATTCGAACCTACGACCTTTGGAATACTAGCCCAATGCTTTTCCAACTGAGCTACGCGGTCAGGACGGTTCGAGTAAGCGATATTTCGGAGTAACATCACAGAGTAACATCACACAAACATCTTATTCACCTGAGTACATTACACCAACACAGCAGATTTCATAAATATTAGATTACACTGATATCGAAGGAACTAGACTCAGTTCCGAAATATCGCTTACTCGAACCGTCCTGACCGCGTAGCTCAGTTGGAAGAGTATTGGGCTAGTATTCCAAAGGTCGTAGGTTCGAATCCCGCCGTGGCCAGGCATATTTTTCAAGCCTGCCCGGTGTGGATATACACTCAGAGTAACATCACACAAACATCTTATTCACCTGAGTACATTACACCAACACAGCAGGTTTCGTTCTTCTTGTCAAGATCAAAATTTTGTCCATAGCTGGTCAGCTAGAGTTGCGGTGCTTTCTCCCAGCTCCGGCTGGAAATTCAGAATGAAATTGTGACAATTTCGTATGGAATTAGCGTTGGTTACAAGTAATGTTGAACCATCTCGCCATTTTCGGCAACTGTAAACGGCCAAAATTGAACAAGTCATTATGTCTGTAATCTATCGTATCACAGAAAAATTTATAATACAATCGCAAGCGTCATGCTCTGATATGCTACACGCGTCATCTTACCTTGGAGACAAAATTGAGCCGAATAATATCCACCATTATCCGGACTTGATCCCCGTCTTGTAAACCAAGGCAGCCTGAGCCGGAGATTTGAGTTGTAAAGCAGCCGGAGTTAAAAACCAGAGTTTGCACAGAGTTTGCAAGCAGAGAGACGTTATAGCCAACCTAAGTAAATCGCCTATATTGTTGGCCCTACTGTAGCAGGTTTGACTCAGCTGGAAGAAGCACCGCGCTCACCGTATCTGCCACACCCGTGCTTATAATTATTATATTCAATTTGTTTCAGTTCAACTGACAGTCAGTTAAAATTATGGAATATTAACAAACCTCATTGTTTGAGAACGTTCAAAGGACATTCAAACGAGAAAAATTTTGTTGGACTTTCGACCAACGGAGATTATATTGCCTGTGGTATGTATGTATTTTCGTCTAACTGCGTGAACAATTTCATGTTTGAAATATATTCTAAGGTACTCTAAAGATTTGTTTCATGGTGATATAAAATGCATGAATGGTAATTCGTTTGCTTTCTTTTCTTCAGGCAGTGAAAATAACTCTCTTTACTTGTACTACAAAGGACTTTCAAAGCAATTGTTGACGTTTAAGTTCGACACTGTACGGAGTGTATTGGTAAGAAGTTAAGAACATTATCCACTGTTTATGTAATATAAGAATTCAGTTGTATTACATTTCATTATGTATTAGAATATCGTTTAGGGACGGCGCGATAAGTGCCCGTCCCTTTTCAACCATAACCAAAGGTCTTTCCAAATCCAATAGCTCATAGCCTATCGAAGGGAAGATGGCTGTGAAACTCATTAGAATAACAATATAACTTATGTGTGTTAGTCAACGTTTATTCATAAATATGGTCCTTCACCGTCACGTATGTGTTGTATTTTTGCCAAATCCACCAATAGCAATTTCCAATATACCCTATTGTTCGAGTCACGGATATAGGTAACTTTCCTAAAACATTGCTATTGGTTAAACACGTAAAAACGCACAAGTTGTTACAAGTCTGCAAACAAGTTGTTACAAATCTGTTCCCAAGCTGCCAACAAGTTGTGTTCGCACTGCTTGTACCCAGTTGTTGTAACAAGTTTGGATCAAGCTGTTAACAACTTGTAACAAGCTTGATGGCATTATCAGACTTGTTACATGCAAGGTTGTTCTAACAAGTCTGATACAGTCCTGATATAACAAGAATGTTACAAGGTTGTTCTAACAAGTCTGATACAGTCCTGATATAACAAGAATGTTACAAGGTTGACGACACAAGGTTGTAACAACATTGTTATATCATGACTGTAGCGGACTTGTTGGAACAACCTTGCAACAAGTCTGATAATATCAACAAGGTTGTTACAAGTTGTTTACAGCTTCTTCCAAACTTGTTGACAACTTGGGACAAGCAGTGCGAAGACACCTTGTTGACGGGTTGTTGGCAGACTTGCTACAAGATGCGAGATTTTTGCACACACGTGACGGTGAAGGACCAGATTTGCGAATAAACGTCGATTAGCACAGATAATGAGTTTTATTATATAGTAGAGAGTGAGATACTGAAAAATACACAGTGAGATATTTTCCATATCTTCACTAGTGAAGATATCGATCACGTGACTTTTTCCAATTTGCTTTTGAGCGTGAAATTTCACAATTTTTTGCTTGGGGCTATATAATAAACAGAACATTACACGGTGGCTTGAAGATATGACTTTTATCTTCTCGTGTTAAAAACCACACGAATATAAATGTCATATCTTCGCGCCGCCGTGTAATATCCTCTATATATTGTTATTCTAACGAGTTTCACAGCCATCTTCCCTTCGACAGGCTATGAATCACAATATGAAAATGCTGTGCTGAGTCGTTATATTAGTAATATAACCACTCAGCACAGCATTTTCACATTGGTACTACCCACACTGGTACAGACAGTTTTAGTAAGAATCACAATACACCCTTTCGATAATTACGTCATTTGGCCTGGGAGCCTCGCTCTCATGAATCGTGAGTCAATCACCTTGCATAATTTACTAATGAGAGCGAGGCTTCAAGGCCAAAAAGTATGTGTGACGTAATCATCGAAAGGGTGTCCTTTAGAAATTCACCTTATTGTTATAATTTGAATGCCTTATTACTATGCTGAAGCCACGGGTGAGTAAAATAGTAGAGAAGAGATTTTTATGCATCACGAAGTTATATTTAAAACTTTATCCATAACTCTGATCTTAGTTACCTTTGTTTAGTTACCTTAGTTACCTTAGTTAGAGACCGGTCATAAAGTATTTACTAGGGGGTGTGGAGGATAATTTTTTTTTTTGGGGGGGG